GGACGAGAGGCCTAGGGCACCCGCCTGGCCCCCGTGAGGATCCTCGCCTGATGCTCCGGGGAGGACCCTGGCTCTGACCGTGCTGCCCTGCAGACAGAGCCCAGGAGGAATTCCTGGAGCTGCTGGAGCTCCTGGTCTCCCACGCTCGCACCTACGTCTCCTCAGTGGCTGCCATGGAGGAGTTCCACCTCAGCCTCTCGCAGTGCGTGGTGCTGCGCTACCACTGGATAGACCCCTTCGTCCGCTCCCTCAAGGAGCATCTGGCCACCTTCCACAGGTAGGGACAGAGGAGCCCCGGGAGAGCAGTCCTTACACCCTGTCCTCTCCCTCGGGGTCTGTGTTTCACCAGTGCCCACACCCTAAGTCGTTGCTGGAAGCTAGTGCTGCACCTGTAGAGCTCTGGGGAGTTTTCCTCCCTGCCTCGGGATCCAGCACCAGCCAAGTCAGGTCTCAGCTTTCAAGGACGAGGCCAGAGCTGTGCCATCCTCTAAACCATGGATGGTTTTGTTGCTCGCATCTGGCTCGGGCACCTGCTGAGCAGCAGCTGCTTCAGGGCTTCAGTCGCCATCCAGGCCTTGGAGGGCTTTGAACTGGGGGGAATGGATTAATTTGAGCCCAGAAAGGTTCTGGTTGCACCGATTTGGTCTGACTGCGGCATACATTTGCCTTTATCTTTCCACAGCCCGGTAGAAATCCTCTCCCCTCCCCATCTTCTGCTTTTTTCCTTTCCTCTTGTTTGTCCCACCAGCTGAAATAGGATATTTCTTGTTTCAGGTTCTTCTGTGTGGCCGACCAAGTGAAGGTGTACACCAACCAGAACAAAACCAGGTGAGCGGGCAGTGGGGCAGCCTGCCTGCGCAGGAAGAAGGCTGGGCAAGGTGCTGGGCGGGATGGGAAGCATCACCCTGCCTGTCCCACGGTGACCAGCGTGAGCTATGTGACAGGGCAGTACATGATCATGTTGTCTCTAGAGGTTCCACACCTTTCCCCAGCCACTTGCACAAATTTTTAGTTTCAGTGCTGATTCTCTGCAAGCCCTTGGTCTCATAAGCAGTGGCTGAACTTCAGGTTGCACGATTTCAGGCTTCTGAAGAGAGGAGGTGTGTTCACAACGTGACCTGAGGCAGGCCTTTCTGCTAGGTTAGATTCGTGCTACGGTTTCACAGCAGCTAAAGGAGGCAGCTGCCTTCACTGCCACCCTCCACCTGGTTTGTTCTGTGGTTTCACAAACCCTTGTGAGCAGCCTGGGGTGAGCAGAGCTGGGGGCCACCTCTTTTGGCAGTGGTGCCAGTCCTGAAGTTGTGGCGCAGGTCTTCCAAGAGCTGGAGAGAAATGGCTTAGACTGTGCTAATTCTCCTGCGTGTCATCTCAGAAGCCTGATTCCAATTGAATGCAATTAAGCAGTTTCAGTGTCAAAGCAAAGGTGATTAAAATTGTGAGAAGTTGCTGAATGTAGCAGGCATGGCAGCCCCCAATAGTCATGGGTGGAACGAGGCAGATCCTGGCTGAGACTTTGTCTTCCCCTCCTCTCCTGGAGTCTGGAAAGCATCATCCAGACGGTCCTTGAGGAGGTGCCTCTGTCACGTCTCTCCAGCTCAGTGCTTTCTGTTCCCGCTTCCTCTCCCACTGTAAAACCCCTCTGGCAACTTCCGCTTTTTGAGTGCGGCTCCTGCGCGGCACAGTGCTCTGCTGAAATACCCATTGAGGGCGTCCTTTGCCTGGAAAATGAGTTCTCATGTCCCAAAAGGTGCTGAGTCTATCCAGTAAATCCACATGATACATCATCCAGTCCTGTTTCTCCCTGCTACCACATCTATTTCTGTTTTTCTTCAGAATATGTTCAATGTCCTTGAATGGTTAAACCTGGCATGCCTCAAATTATCTTTTGTGAGGGGCTAGGGAATTTGCCTGGTAGGAACACAGGGCTAAGTATGCTTACGGCTGTGCTTTTTGTAGCATGACAGGGTGCTTGCTGTCTCTCCTTGTCTTTCTTTAGGACCTTTATTGGCTTGGAGGTCTCCACTGGGCATTTCCAGCTGCTGGAGCTGGTCTCGGAGGTGGACAGAGTTCTGGAGGAATTTGACCTTCCCACATTCTACAAGGTGAGGGTTCTCCCATGTACTTCCCTGCCAGTCCTGCTGGTTTCCTGCGAGAGGTCCTTGAAATGTTAACCCCAAATAAACAGGAGCAGGGAGGTTAGACTCTGAAAAGGTCTCCTCTGGGCCAGTTGGTGATACTCGTACTTAACGCCCTGAATCTTGCTGAGAATGGGACTAGTGCAAGTCTGTGACTTCTGTATTGCATCCTGTGCAGGAGAGTGAGGCTGTTAACTGTCTGGTGGCCTCCTGAGAATCTGGTTTCTGGGGCAAAGGGCCAGAGTGTACGTTGCGGTCGCTGCCCTGCTGTGCGTGGAAGCAGGGTTGTCCTAGGATGGAATGGTCTTAGAGTGAGCACTGTGGGACTGCGGGCAATGCGTATGCCTCTTCCGTGGGCAGTTTCCTGCAGCATCGTTCCAGCCTCTTTGCTTGGGGGACAGTTTTTGGATTTTGAAGGGCCAAACCCTGATTTCTCTGCCTCCAGAGCTCAGCAGGGGGCTCTTGTGGGTTATTCAGAAGTGACCCACCTACTACTCCAGGACTGTTTGTGAGAGGTTCTCTCTGCAGTTGGAAAAGCCTCTGCAGAGTTGAGCACGGGGAGGCTGGGAACCAAGCAGCCTTACCTACTGGTGTCCAAAAAGGCTGGGGAGCCCAGTACTCATCTTGCCTCCAGCACTTTCCATGTCAGTTCTGCAACTGCTGAGCTGGCAGAGGGGGCTCCCAGCTTTGGGATCCTCCTACCTCTGCAATCCCAGGCAGGGCAGCACCACATCAGATCTCCCACTGCGGCTCCATGCGTTGAGCAAAGCCGCTTTTAGCCCTCACGATCTGATGCCTGTTTTGTCTTCAGGACCCGTCGTTCCACATCAGCTTGGCCTGGTGCGTCGGAGACCTGTCTGGCAGGCTGGAAGGGCAGTGTCTGCGGGAGCTCCAGGTGCGTCCCCACACAGTGTGGAGAGCAGGGGAAGAGCAGCGCTGGTGTCCAGCCACATCTCCCTGACAAGGGTGGAGAGTGGGAAATTATCTTCACTGAGCAAGACAGACTTTACTGGGTTGAAAAAAGAGAAGCTTTTGGGGGAAGCGTGAGTTAAATTACCCTCCAGAGGGAAGTCGGAGGCTTCCAGCCGCAAACAGCCTCAGCTCTGACTTGATTCAGAGAGGGAGCTGCCAGTTCCCTCCTCTGGCAGAGCCTCCTTCTTGGTACTGACTCCTGTATCTGTTTTCCAGGACATTGTGGATGGATTTGAGGACTCAGTGCTCCTGCTGCGTGTCCAATGGGAGGAAATCCGCTGCAAGTCTGGGAACAAGTACTTCTCCTTCCCCCTGAGGTAGGGGCCAGTGGGGCTTTGTGTTTCAGAGCCTTGAAGACCCTGATGTTCAACCAAGGACTTCTCCAGCACAGTTCTGTGCACCATGGGCTGTCACGCAGCTCCCACGCTCTTCTTGCCTGCTCAGCATCTCTGGGGTGTTTGTGGCCTCAAGTCAGGCTACTTCCAAGTTGGAGTTGCTGGCTGAGGAAATGTGTGTTTGTAGCAGATTTCATCCTCGCTGCTGTATGTGCTGCAGTCAGCACCAGTGGTTCCAGCCATCCCATGGTTGCTAATTTTGCTGATTTAAAAAAAAAAAACAAAAACACAAAAAAAACCCACAAAAAAAACCCTCTATAAAAGCCATAGAAGGCTTATGGGAAGGAGGAAGAAGGCAGCAGGGGAAGCTGTTGCTAAAGGGAGAGTGTCTTGCACGGTTGGAAATAGCACTGCCTGATTGTCCGGAGGCTCTGAGCATGCTTTGAGTAGCAAGAGGCAAGGACCTGGAGCTGGACTGTCTTGCCAGAGCACCTCCCGACTGTAAGCCAGCTGGGACAAGTTCCTGGGTCGTGTTCTGCATCCCTTTCACACCGCTGCTGCCTCTATAGCGTAATTTCAGTATCTGATCCCTTTGCCAAACAGCAAAAGATGAAATCTGGAGGGGAGAGGTTGGAAACCCCTTGTGTTTTGGTACTCAAGGCTGGGCCTAAAAGAAGAGCTTTGGTTTAAAATCGTGCTTGCCATAAGCCCAGGACTTTTTTGGTGGGCAGCTTCCCCCAAGAAGCTTGCTGCTGTGTGTGGGCAAGCCCAAGAGAGGGCAGTGTCAGCTTTTGTCTGAGCTGGAAGGGCAGTGCCCACGGGTGAGTCAAGGGGTGGCAGCTCCTGCCCAGGCCCCATGCTTTGTCCCTCTGGAAACAGCACCCCGGTGCTGTGATAGCCCTGGGGGCAGCGGGCTAGACTTTGTTCCTTGGGAGAAGCTCCTTTTTCAATCCTTTTGTCCCTGTGGGGAGGTCGGCTGCAGCTCTTAGGTATTCGGAGCAGGACGGCAACGTGCTGCCCTGAATCTTTCATTCCACATCTGATGAAAGACTCCGGGACTTCTGAGCAGTAAAAATCTGTTTCCTCATGTCATGAAATTGTTTGCATGGTGTATTTCAGCCATTCCCTTTCAGACATGCCCAGCTCCCACAGGCTTCAGATGAGGCGATGCATGCAAGTGCTTCTGTGAGCTCAGTGCTGCACTGCCTGTCCTTGCACACGAGAGAGCCTGGGGACTTTGTGGCCGTGGGAGCATCTCAGCACAGGTCGTGGTGTCTGCCAACACCCATGTGATAACTGAGTTTCAAAATCCTTCACGAAATTCTGTTAAGTCTGCAGCCAGTTCGTTTCTGGGATGGGGATCTGCGTGGTAAGGCGTGTGAGTACACCCCGCGTTTTCTTCTGGGGAAGGAAAACCAAACAAAGACAGATATATTTAGCCCCTGGGGACTTCCAGTGAAACTGGCTCCGGCAGGACCGGTTTCTCTGTGGTCTGAGCCCAGCAGAGCCAGGTTAATGCTCAACCAGTGGCCCCGCTCCCTCCCCAGCGGGGCCTGGCTTGGCTCATCGCCCTCTTTTGTAACTCTGGCGGGTGTCAGGGACCCCACTTCTGGCAGCAGAGATGGGGGATGGAGCTGGGCTCGGTGGCAGCGCCACGGGGACAAAGTCCGGGGATGGGTGGCTGCTGGCGCAGCTCGAAATGGTGGGTGTGAGTGGGCAGGTGCGGCAGGCTGGGCGTGCGGGGGGACAGGTGGGGCCTGGTCTGCATGGGACACATGTGAGCGGCTGCAGGGCTGCACCGTAGCTGTGCACACGCGTGTGAGCGGCTGTAGGGCTGCAGGGCTGGGCCGTGGCTGTGCACAC